TGCTCTGAACGTGACTGTGCAGCTGTGTAAAGGTCTCAAGCACCTTGTCCACCTGCCTCCAGGAGATGGGCCTGGCTCTGCCACTCCTTGGGGAGGAGGCCGGCGACTGGCCCAGGCTTCACCTGTAGATTTTTCCAGCACAGATGAGCCACCAGGGGGGTCACTGAACCCAGACTTGAACATATTGGTAGAGTGGCTTCTGTGTGCAGTTCACCCACCCACAGAGGGACGTCGCAGCACAGAGCCCTCCTCTGCCCCTGCAGGGAGTGTGCTGTGCAGGAGCGACATCCTGCGTCAAGCCTCATGACAGGGCTCCACCCAGGGACCCAGTGTGGAAGGGACAGTGGGCATTTGGCAATGCAGCTGGAGACCATCCTGTCCCTGACTCCCCCACATCATGGCACAGGAGAAGCTGTGGCATGTGGAGCACCACTGGGAATCAGGGTAGCAGCCTGCAGAAGGGGGCTTTCCCGGTGTGCCCAGAGTTCACTGTGGTGGGCACCCATAGTGATTGCTATGGGAGCCAAAGCTGCCATGAGCTTGAAGTAGGTGTTGGGCAAGTGTCAGTTAAGGTCACCTACTGCTCTGTCTACATTTTCCAGTGCCCCCTTCCCCACTTCCTCCCTCCAGAATTAAAGATCCTCTTGTCTTTCCCTCTGAACTCTGCCCTATTTGCTTAGGGTCACACATGGACAGAGCCGGACCCACTAAACTATCGACACCTCAACCATGGCTTACTCCTTCCTGTGGCTCACATGCCTCACCAATGGCTGGTGTTTGGCAAATGCCACATGAATTAACTAATTAATTAACGAGTTGAAGAGTAAATGAATGATCAAGCTGAAATCTTGTCACAGAAAGGGAAGTTCATAGCTCCAGGGGACCGTGAACTTGTGGCAAGAGGCACCAGAGATGACTGGCCTCAGTGTGGCCTACACTGCTATGGGCGGAGCTTCTCAAAGCTGCAGGAGCTCAGATGTCATCTAGTCCAGTCTGTGTCATACGAACCCTCCACGGCATTGCAGACAGCAGGCCAGGCCCTGCCCAAGCACCTTCAGTGAGGGCAGAGGGAGCGGGCTGCAGCTCCAGCACTCTGCCCAAGTGCAGTGGGAAGGACAGAGGCCGTGCGCCTCACTGACCTGGGCTCAGATTTCAACTCTGCTGCTTGCTAGGTCTGTGGCCTTACACAAGGCACTTAACCTCTCTGAGCCATGTTTACACTCTGTGTGTGTGTGTGTGTGTGTGTGTGTGTGTTATTCTCTTTTGTAAAAGAGATATAATACTACCTTCTTTCAGAGTTGTTGCAAGCACCAAGAGAAAATGCAAAACAAGCAAACAAACCAAAACCCAACCCACCAACTTATTAAAGATGATTAATGAATAGTAGCTAACTCTGTTTTTATGACATATGATTAGTTGTTACTTATGGCTGGGAAAGGTGTTGTGAAGAGTTCAGAGACAATTCTAAGGAACAGAATTTGTGTTGAAACCTAACAGTTTGTCATAATTAAGTGAATTTATTATGGGACTTATTAGCATAATTTCATGGGAAGATGATGTGCCAAGACGTTCAGGATCAGGGGTTACCAAGCTTTTCCCATGAGGACATGCCCCATGGAACACATTCACAGTGAGTCATTTGCCAGCACATGGAGGCCACTGCAGAGACCTAGAAAGCTGCAGGCTGGCCTGGGAGAGATGGCCCAGAAACAGTGCTCCAGGTCAGCGTATGCCCATGTCAGTCCTAATTCTGGAAGCAGCCTGGGATAGGAGCAGAGGATCCACGGTGTTCCCATTATACATTTGAGAGCCAGGTTGTTACTGGTTTGGCTACTGCAAGTTTTAGGCCAAGTATTAGGGCCTCATCTAAGAAGCAGGGCTTTGGTCCTGAGGAGTGGGAGGAAGGAGGTGTGGGGCCTTGGGCAGGTAAAGGTGGCCAGAGCCCTAGGTGTCACCTGGGCCAGGCCGAAGCCTGTGTACAGAGCCAAAATGGTTCAGAGGTCAGGTCTTAGTACTGGTTGAACCCATGGAAAGTGGAGAAGGAAGGAGGAGGAGAGAGGAAAGGATCAAAGAGTAACTTTGATGCCAGAGTGAATGGGTGCCATTACCATCAGGAAGGTCTCAATTCCATCCTAAATTCCCTTCTCCTCCCAGTTCCCCCATCACAGTCGCAATCAGTAGCACCTCTACCCACAGGACCAAAATGCTCAGATTCCACTTGTCACTCCGCCTGGAACCCACTCCCTCCTCCTCTGGCCAACTCCCTGCCAGCGTTATCAAGTCCTGCCCATGTCCCCGCTGCCACTATCCTGGTTCAGGCCTCCACTTTCCTCCTGACTCCCTGCACAATCTCAAGCCTGTCTTCCTGCCTCACCCTACCCCCTGCCCCCCACTTCTGTCCGCCATTCATACTGCTGCAGAGTTCTCTTCCCCAGAACCAATCTGGCCACACTCATCCTTGGTTGGCCTGGAATCATTTGGCACCTCTTGGTTACAGTCCAGAGCATCCCGCTAGCATAGCTGCTGCAGACCTTCATGATCTGCCCAGCTTCTTGTGCCCTTCCCACAAGCTTCAGCCCAGCCACCCAAACTGCCTGCAGGTTCCCGCAGTGGGCTGTGCCTCTCTGACACCACTCCAGAACCCCTCCCCCTGACTCTGGGGCTGGCAGAGGAGCTCCTCCTCTGTGCTTCTCACTCCCTCCTCCTCGTGGCTCTCACTGTATTGTCCTGGAGTAACAACAGAGCCCTCTGCCTCTCACATCCTGAGCCCAGGGTCTGCTCTTATTCATTTTCTGCTCCAAAGAGCTCAGCATCCTGCCAGACAGACCTGAAGCGCTCAGTAAATCATTTTGTGAATGAAACTGAGCAATGAGGGCGTTCATGAGAGAGGAGGGGGGACAGCACAATTAGGTCCCAGGGATGTTGAGTTTGAGCTGTTGATACAGCATCTAGGTGGATGTCCAAGCTGTACTGGGAAGGCGAGTCTGAAGCTTGGGAAACGTCTCTTAAGAAACTGTGTTCTCTGGTCAGAGATGAACCAGTTTCCCTAAGGAGGTCAAATGACCAAAAAGTGGCTCAGAGTTACCAAACCAGCTTCATCGACTCAGGGAGCCTCAGAGCCAGAAGGACATTGTGAGGACATTGTCTGGTGTGATTCTTTTATTTAGCAAATGAGGAAACTAAGGCTCAGCAAGGGGAAAGGCCTAGCTCAGTGGTTCTCAACCTTCTGGCCCTTTAAATACAGTTCCTCATGTTGTGACCCAACCTTAAAATTATTCTCGTTGCTACTTCATAACTGTAATGCTGCTACTGTTATGAGTCGTAATGTAAATATCTGATATGCAGGATGGTCTTAGGCGACCCCTATGAAAGGGTCGTTCGACCGCCAAAGGGGTCGCGACCCACAGGTTGAGAACCGCTGGTCTAGCTAGAGGCAGTGCTAGGACTAGAACCCATGTGTCTCCACCACAGTCTAAGCTCTGTTTGCCATTCCCCACGGCCTCCTGTTCATGGCACTCATTTCTGGGCCCTGAAGGAGGGCGTTGTCACTGGAAATGAAAGAAGGCACTAGAAGAACCAACCCAGCGATGTTCACACACTAACTCGTCCTTTCCCACAACACAGCTTCTCATGGCCCCACAGGAGAACAGACCCGATAAGACCTTGGGAGCACAGAGCCTATGCGCTGAATCCCACGCACCAACAAACAGGATGGACCCTGTGGCCTTCATTTCAGCCACAGCTACATCTGTTTATATTTGCCATGTGTTGTTTTGTTTAAAATCCTCACCCGAGGATGACATGTTCATTGATTTTTAGAAAGAGAGGCAGGGGGAGAAAGGGAGGGAGGGAGGGAGAGAGGGAGATAAGTGAGAGTTGCCTCCTGTACGTGCCCACCCTGACCGCTGATCCGACCTACAACCTACCAGGTAGCTATGTGACCTGACGGGGAATCGAACCTGAGACCTTCTGGTGTACGGGATGTGACTCCAACCAGCTGGGCCACACTGGCCAGGCCTGTTTTACCGTGTTTTAACAAGTGTTGACCATCTCCTCTCCAGTCCTATAACGGATCAGAGTCAGCTCATTAGAAACCACAAGAGAGACTCCTGTGAACAAAATAACTGACACACTGACTCCGAAAAAACAGCAGATGGCGTCATTTAGGGCGAGGACCAATAGCCATTCACAGCCAAGCACATGAAGACTCTCTACACGTACATATCCCAACACACGTCCCAGTTGTGATATCCACATCACGTGCTATTTAAGATCTGTGAGCATTTACACATTTCATAAGGCTTGTCATCGAAAGTGATTCAGACTGTTTAAGAAGCAAGCCCCCTGCTATCAAAGGGAGGAATTGTCCTTAAGGATTCTGCATAGCAAAGGGTCTTCATCATGACAAAGTGGGGGAGGGAACTGGTGTGTGTCAATTGACCACAATCACCAGGCACGTGGTTTAACACAATGCTAATCTATTATCGCATTTAATTTCTATAATTCTTAAACTTCACACACAGCAGACGTTCAATTATAAAGAGTGGGGCAAAAGTAGGTGTATCGTTGTGAGTACACGAAACAGAGCTTATTTGTGTATTTATTAATTGTGGTATTATTTTCCATACGAACAACAGTAAACCCACTTTGGCCCCACCTGTGTATGTTGAATCCATGAATGACTGAATGGACTGAGTTTTTGCAGCCTCATTTTGAATATTGGGAAAACAAGGCCCAGAGATTAGAATTGCCCGGGTCTGATCACTCATTGGGAGCTGAGAGCCTGAGCCCTTCCCCCAGGCACTATTGCCAAAACCGCATTAACTTGGCAGAGGAAACCTGTCACTTACCCGTGAGGACAGAGTGGAGTTACCGCTTCAGCCACCGTCCAGTCAGTACCACAAGGACGCATTGCGAGTTGTCTGAGTCTGCAGCCCCGTGAGGGCGCTGCTTCCAGGCAGATGGTGATTCATAGCACTTGTGTTTTCTTTGGTTCCCAGGAATGAATTCAGAGCATGGACGGACATCAAGCCTGTGAAACCAATAAAAGCGAAGCTCCAGTACAAGCCCCCAGATGATAAGATGGCTCACGAGACCAGCTACAGTGCCCAGTTCAAAGGGGAAGCCAACAAGCCAACACCAGCTGACAATAAGTTCATTGAGCGCAGAAGAATACGCAGCCTCTACAGCGAACCTTTCAAGGAATGCCCAAGGGTGAGGCATGTTTGGTGGGGAGCCCATAGCACAGCCTGGGATGGAGGGGTTCACTGCCTCAGAGCACGGGAGCGGGGCTACTCCAAACCCTCCTGTGAGCCGGCCGGCCAGGGTGGCTCAGTGGTTGAGCGTGGGCCTATCAACCAAGAGGTCATAATTTGATTCCCAGTCAGGGCACATGCCCTGATTGTAGGCTTGATCCTCAGTGGGGCGTGCAGGAGGCAGCCGATAAAAATATATATATTTTTAAATCCTCCCTTATGCAGCTCACTGAGATAGAGGGAGCTTATTAACAAGAACCTTTGATAAATTCAAAAGGAATGTGTAAAAGGAACATTATCTAAAATAAAAACAGTGTAAAGACTGGCAGTTGTGCAGAAAACTAGCTTCTGATTTTAAGAAACCTAGGGGAAAAAAAGTGACAGAAAATCTCCTCTGAGCCCTAAACCCCTTGTCATAAAATAACTGTGCTTTTGCTCCTACAGTGCTGGCCGAGTGTTGGAGGCATCCTTGCCTGGCTTCCTTCCCACCCGACCCGTGCCTCATCCTCAGCTCCAGACACTTCCTCATCTCCAAGTCCCTGAAAATCACCTGCCTTTTCTTACCCTTTCCCTCGATAAATGCCATCCACCAGCAGTCCTTAGTCGTCACAACACACCTGTCATGTCAGCTGCAAGATGTGTTTTGAGTAATTTATTATTATAATGAGCAGTTTGTGAATGAATTGCATTTCTAAGTAACTTACGTGGATTCAGGGATTTTCCTCTAATGACACCATTTTGCCTTGTTTGCATCCCAGAATGCATTCATGAGAGGGAGAAGCATGTTGGAGATTCCGCTGCTGACATAGGACTCATATATGCCAGAGCTTGTTCTCTGAGGTCAGGTCACATGGAATCGTGCAAATATCAGCTCTCCTATCTGTAATAGCAGAAAAAGTCGGAGACCCTAGACAGCCTTTTCTCTGCTTTTGCCCTAAAGTCTTGCACTCAGTGGTTTCCTATTTGTCCAACGCAGGTAAGATAACTAACTGAGACTGTTTGCCTGGACTCCTCTAGTTGTAGCCCTGAGAGTTTCATGTTTCATGAAAGCTCTGTCCCCGGCGAACCAGGCCGATTGGTTACCTTAGGAACAGGTCTGGGGTGATAGGAAACCTCAGTGAGTGAGTGGCCCAGCCCAGGGGCCCAATGGCATCTCTGTCCACCTTTCGCAGATGAGGTAGGACCCAGGGTATGGGGTTGGCTTTGGACAAAAGAAGATTCAAAGGGAAGAAGGAGGAAAGATTGGGGAAAATAAATCTAGAGATGGATGGGAGGTGACATACTGAGGGATCACACTCAGGGACCCCCGAGTTCTTGAGAAAGAGCAGGCAAGGCCATCTCCTAGGAACAAAGGGGCAGAGCTAGAGGAGGGAGCTTGGGGAGAGGGCATGGGCTTGAACAGCTGCTCGGGAAAGTACGGGCAGAGGAGCCAGCCTGAGAGGAGGAGCGGGTGCTGGGAAGTTGTGAAGGCCTCACTGAGACAAGGTGCCTGGCCTGAAGCATCTCAGTGAGGGCATTTCTCCATCTGTGTGCACCATCTCAGAGACAGAAACAGGGGACAGGTAGGCTTATGCTAACAAATCATCCCACAATCTCTGTGTTTTACATCAACAAAGGTCTATCTATTACTAGTATATAAAAGCCTAAGCGACCGAACGACCAAACTACTGGTTGACCAGTCACTATGGTGTGCACTGACCACCAGGGGGCAGACGCTCAATGCAAGAGCTGCCCCCTGGTGGTCAGTGCGCTCCCACAGCCAACCTCTCACAGCCAGCCAGCCTCCCACAGTCCCTCCCCCTGGCCGGCCACCCCAATCGGCCCTAATCGCCACCAGGCTGAGGAAGCCCCCACCCCTGTGTATGAATTCATGCACTGGGCCTCTAGTTTCTTATAATACACATTCACCATGGATTGGTGCAGCTCTCCTTGTCACTTCTGCAGCCAGAGGCGGGGTGAAGGCGCGGCCTCTCTGTGGTGGGAGAAAGCACTGGGAAGCACAGGCTGAGTGAGTGGGCCTGGAGGTGACCCAGTCATTTCTGCTCACATTTCACTGACTAGAGCAAATTATACCTGCCTGACTTGGACAGGGAGGGGAAACAGAAGTGCAAATAGTAGCACAGTCCACTGCCTGGATGTCTGGGGTGAGATGCCCAAGGCCCCATGTGACCAGTGAGAGTATTGCCAGATGACTGACCAGGGGGCACAGAGGGTTCTAGAAGCCAAGTGGCCTGACTTCCCTGAGAACACTTTAAACTCTGCTCCCTCAGAGTCAAAGG